GTTCTAACCTCCTGTCCACTCTCTCCATGAACCCTTCCATAAGTGAAGTTCTCCTCCTCTGCTCTGACGAGCAGTGAGCAGAGAAATTCTTTAAAGGGTTCCCAGCTCTCATAGAAGCCAAAAGAAAAAGCAAACAGCCTCTATTTTTGTAAAATGACAGTTTTGATTCCAGATTTCTCGAAGATTATCTTAGTCTTATCTGTCCTTTTTTTACTTTTATCTCTTTGGGATCCATTTTTAGCATCTCACATTTGTATTTTAAACTTAGAAAATTTCAGCATGTAAGTATAAAAAAAAAGTTGTGTTCAAAGCTTATCAGTTATTAAATACAAGCAACATAAAAAAGAATTACTCACTTTTTAAACAAAGAAACTGGACTTTTTAAGAATTTATTTTTTGTGTTAGTGTCTTAGTTACTTTTCTTTTGTTGCTTATACAAAATACCTGACACGTGAGTCATTGGTTGATTAGCTTTGTATGTCTATATGTGTTTTCAGGAGAAACTACATTGAAGATATCAATATGTAATACAATAAGCATTGTTAATTCCCTACCACTCTGTTTGTAACTCTGTAATGTCTGTACTGATCCTATGCTATTTTGTAAAATGTTGTCGGTCTGTTAGTATTTTCCTCCTTTAATTTCTAAAAAAAAAAAAATACCTGACACCCAAAATTAAAGGGGGAAAGATTTATTTAGCTCACAGTTTGTAGAGGTTTTAGTCCATAATTGGCTGGCTCCAAGGCAGGGTGGCATGGCAGAGGGGCACTGCAGAGGAGAAACAATTCATAGAAGGCAGAATGTAGCAAAGCAACAAGGGACAAGACAAGTCTCTTTCTGTCGCTTGTCTTCTATCCAGGTTACCAAGATTAAGGTGATGCCAAGCCAGTCAGTGGGTAGTAAGTAATTACCCACCCTTAACCCTAGCATTCTACACTCTAGGTGGAGCCACCTCTGAAAAAGATGCATCTATGACCACATGAGGCTTTTGGGGGGCATTTAGACCCAAACCATATCATTCTGCCCCTGGTTCCCCAAAGACTCGTGTCCATTCCTTTACGCAAAAAAAGGACATTTTGCCCATCTCCAAGAGTTGGGAAACTCCTGATAGTTTCAGCATTGCTGAAAAGTCCAAGTCCCAAATCTCCTTTTAGATTCAAGGCAAACTCTTAGTTGTAAGCCCCTATAGAAATGAAAAAAAAAAATAAACACTCCAGCATTCAGAGGGTCAAGATAGATATTCCCATTCCAAAAAGGTACAAACAGAGAAATACAAAGGAATGGGGCTAAAGTAAGTCCAAAATCCAGTAGGGCAAACATTAATTCCTGTAGTTCCATGTGCAGCATCTGAGGCCGTCTGTGGTCATTTGTGAGCACCAAATGGTTGGGGTGGCTCTGCCTGTGCTCCTGGGAGTGTCATTCCATCTTTATTCTGAGCAATACCCCTGCACATGTTCAGCTGCCCAGGTCTGGGAGTTACATATGCATCCTGGGGGAAGGCACTGCTTCTAGGACTGAATGGTTATCCTGGGATGGGTTGTCCAGAGAAGCAAGAAATTTTATGGTGGGAAGGTAGGATTTTAAGGAACTGGTTCAGAAGATTATAGAGCCCAGCAGGCTGGGGACCCGGTTAGGGTTAATACTGCAGACTTAGGTCAGCTCTGGGCAGGCTGGGAAGCATGCAGACTAGTTTCCATTTGGAATGATGAGGCAAATTGCATCTTTGGGAATCTTTAGTCTTCAATCTCAAGGCCTTCAGCTAGTTGGATGTGGAAGGTAATCTTATATACTCAAAATTTCAGAGGTTAATCACATCTTTAAAAATACCTTCATGGCAACATTTGGACCAGCACTGATTGAACAGCTGGACCCACAACCTCACAATCACCATAGACTTCAGAGCACACCCCCCAGTGGTCAGCGTGACCCAGAGCCTCTGTACCTTGTAGAGTTGTACATTATTTCCTCTGGAGATAATTGATCACCAAACAGCTCAGAATGTAGGGTCCCAAGATTCTGCCTACAACACTGTTCAATTCCAGAAGGCGAGGTTCTGTGAGACTTGCTTGGACCCCCAGGTGAGGGCTGCCACACTGCCCAGCTTGTCTCTTGAGGTTGGCCTCTGCCAGGTTGAGGGGCAACACTGCCCCCAGTTGCAGATTCCCTGTGAGCTGTGAACATGGTGGTTCAAATCCTGTGTGGTTTTAGCCTGAGCCAGTCATGAGAACTGTTCAGCTTTAGGATTTGAACCCACTGGCATGCTAGGAGGCACACAATTCTCTTACTTCACTTTTCCTTGGCTGAAGTCCTCTCTGTAAATTTTCTGACTATCACTTCTTCTTGTCCAACTGCAGAGCTTTTTGATTAGCTTTTAAGACAGGGGCTCGCTGTGTAGCCTAGGCTGACCTTGAACTTGCGATCTTCCTGCCTCAGTCTTCTGAGTGCTTGGATCATAGGTGCACCACCATGTCCAGCTTTTTGATATTTCTTTAGAAATAGCAACTGGATCAACTTTTTAAAAAATCCTAAAAGAAGGTAATAAGATCATAGTGACTGTGGTGACGTCCACTCGTTACCCACCTGCTCTCCTCTCTGCTGCTACTTGGTGCTTACTTTGTGCCCAGCAAGACCCTAGGAGGTCAGAAGAAATATTTCACAGTCTGGAAGCCTAAGGTGCAGCCAGAGCCTTGGAACTGATGCTTGTAGTGAAGCCAGGCGGGCACAGAGAAACCACTTACTGGCCAAATGCCTGCAGTTAATTATTTTACATTAATAATAAGAGGATTTTTCTTATTAAATGGAGATTTTAGGCCATGCCTACTAGCCTAGTAGAAGTGAGTTACTTAGTCCCAGAAGAACAGTCTGGGACTGGAAAAAACTGAAGTCATTGGAAAAAAAAACATAAATGGTCAGGACTTTTCCTTCTTTAAGGAAAAAAAGAATAATAAAGGGATATTACTGAAGTCTGTCAAATCATAAAGGAACTAGGTTGTTTAAAACCACAATAAAGCCAGGCATGGTGGCACATGCTTATAATCCTAACACTGGGAAGCTGAGGCAGGAAGATCCCAGATTTACAATTTAGCAGTCATGGTGAATGTTTTAGAGCTTTCAGTGACACAAACATGGTATGCATGCCACAGGTTTGCCACTGCTGACAGCAAGACCTTGTCTGTCTCAATATGTAAAAAAAGTAAAACAGTAAAAAAGGCCTAAAGATGTAGTTCAGTAGGGAGGCTCTAGATTCTGTCCTTAGCATAGAATTATGAAGTTTAGGTATGCACTTTATCATTGAGGCCAGTTTGCAACTATTGTATACCTTGTAAAACAACAGTATTCCATTCCACTCAAATAAAATTTAACAGATTCATTTATTTCCATTTTATCATGTCTTGATTAAAAATATTTTTTGAAAATTGTGACTGAAAACAGATCAAACTTGAGTAGTTTTCCTTTTTAAACAAAGTATGAGTATATGTTCTACATATTTGCTTTTACTTAGAAAAAAACTTACTTAGAAAAATACAACTTGGGTGTAGTACCATGTGGTGTAAACAACTGAACTGTTTTACTTTTTACTTTCCTATGAATGGGCCAGTATATATTTATTACTGGAGTTCCAGCTATAAAATTCAGGTAAGGGGTTTAAATATACCCTAGAGTATTATTTAAAAGTAAATTTGTTTCTTTCAAATAGAATACCAATCTTGGTCTATGACATTTGGGAGAGAAATTAAATTATTAAACTTTTACTGCCTAGTAAACTGAAAATAAAGGTTATATAAATACAAAGCAGAAAAAAATATATATATACAACATCACAACCTCTAAAAAGACAAACAGCCTACTGTTCTCTACTGTGAGGGCTTTATCAGCACTAGTAAGTAATTCCACCTCCAGAGTGGGGCTAGTATTAAAAAGTGTAAACAAGCATGTACTTTGTTTATATAAGGAAATGTGCTGCGTGGTTCGTTTCTTTGTGGATGTGGAACAGTCCGTGGATTGTTTCAAAGCACCAGTAGGGGCCAGCAAAGAGCTCTTAGGGTTTCCAGAACAGAATTGGCATTGAGATATGTTTATTTGATGTGTTAGATCTTTTTTAGACTTCTTTACTCACTACCACCTCTGTTAAGTGAATGAACTGCAGACAGTGGAATGAAATGCCCAATGTGTTCAGATTATATTGGGTATAGTTTTTCTGTCTAATCTGCATATATTTTTAATGGAATGTTTGCTTAGGCTATTTCTTGGCAGAGTTTTAATAGTCAAACTATAAATGGCATCATTTAAAGACTGTACTACTTGGCCGGAAAAGGCCTTAAAATTACAAGAGAAAATGCTTGCTGACAGCATCTCTTACATTTCTTTCTCCCTCGCCTCAAGTGTATGCTCATTTTTGCAGTAGTACCTCTAGGTTTATTTTGTCATTCTGTGTATAAGCTTTCACTTTTTGTAATTGTTGTTCTGAAGCCTAAAATATTTATCTTGTGATTTAATGCTGAAGATTTAATTCACCCCAACGTTTTGGCATTTCTAAATTTACATAACCGCTTGAATTTGCTCATTTTAAAAAATTTAACAGTCTGTATTCCTTTCTGCATTAACTAACTTACCAGGATTTTTAGTATGGCTACTATTTGGAAATTTAATCTTTGATTTGATACTCAATTACATGGGGCTTCATTCCTACCAACTTCCTGTAATTCTATACCTTTGGGTAAAAATATTAGTGGTCAGACTCTGCTGGAGAAAGTATAGGCACTGAGACTCCCTCCCGGAGTTAAATGTTCATTTAGTAGAGCTGGTGTGAAAAAATCCTGTTTCCACTTGAAATGCTAGAAGTCCGTTGTTCTTGTGTTACTCATTCATGCAAATTGGAGAAGGTATAATTGAAACAAGGTTGGCTGTGTTCAAGTCAGTGCTGCTGAGCTCAGCTCAAAGGTCGCTGGAAATCAAGTGCTGTGTGCGTGAAGACGTTTGGACTACAAGCGATTCAAGACATTTGCGGAATGTGCGTCCAGGAGTGGGTCGCCGTTCTCTTTTTATGATATCTGGTCTCTAATGTTTTAAGCAGGATAAAGACCACGACTTGAGAGCTCTGTCAGCACCATAAATGACTGCTGCTCTCACTGCAGTGCAGCTGCTTCTCGCCTGTCTGTGGACAGAGATCTTTGTTTTGACTCTCAGCCCTTAACATGTTTGGAAATGAGAACAAATGGCACAGAGCTTACGATTGCACTTTGCAGCCCGAAGAAGCAACACTTACCCTTTGTCAGACAGCTCCGGAAATGACCTGGATGGCCAGCTTCACATCTGCTTCCAAAGACCAGCACGGGTTTCCTCAACTAACGTTGTTCAGATGAAGCTGAATCCCAGACAGACTGCACCGGCTCCACTGATAAAGGAGAGCGTGCAGGCTCAGGAAAGAGCCTGTGTTCCTTCACTTGAGAACGCCAGTAAGAAGAGCAGCTGCCTCCAGATTTCACTGCAGCCCACGAGGTACAGTGAGTGTCTTCGGGCTGGCAGTGCAGTAGTGGATGGTGACGAAGCTTTGTTTCCTTGTGCCGCGAAGGAGAGCATCCACAGCAGTGCTGGGAGCGATGGTAACCTCTTCAGCAGTCCTGCCGTCAGCAGTGGAAGCCTTGGTGGCTTTGCAGCCAGTGATCCTGGGTCCTATAGCAGCGTTGGAAGTGATTATGGATCGTGTGCAAGCATTGCCAGTGGAGGCTCCTACACCAACAGCGTTGTCAGTGACAGTAGTGGTTACGCTTTTCCGCCAAGCCGTGACACTTTTTTTGGTGGAAATTTTTCTGCTGACAGCACCTCTGACAGGAATGTGCCAAACAGGAATACCACTCCCTGTGAGAGTTTTTCAAGAAGTCCAAGCACAGTTCCCTTTGTCCAGGCTGACGTGGAGCATGGAATCGAGACTGTGAAATTGCCACTGAGCAGGAATGCGAAAATTCCACTAAAACGTTGCTCTTCTTTAGTCATTTTTCCTCGGAGTCCCTCAGACACACCGCCAACTTCTCCTACAAGTACAGGTGTTCTCCCAAGCAAGGGGTCCTACCAAACCTCACATCAGTTCATCATTTCTCCTAGTGAAGTCACACGTCACGAGGATGGTTCCAGTGTGAAGGGATTTCTTTCGACCGCTGTCAATGGACTTCGATTATCTAAAACAGTCTGCACTCATGGAGAAGTCAGAGATACGCAGGCACTTCACGCAGGCTCATCCCAGAAGAAAGTTGTGATTTCAAATAACGGTCAAAAACAGGCTGTTGGTGAAAAGTCATCTGAAGGGTATTCATGTGTTTCAGTGCATTTTGCCCAACAAAAAGCAGCCACATTAGATTGTGAAGCAACAAATGGTGATTGTAAACTGGAGATGTCAGAAATTCAGCTTAATTCTGATGCAGAGTGTGCCAAGCTTGGGCACAGGACGTCTGCCTATTTACCATCCACCCAACACATGGATTCCCAAATAAAACGTAGTGCAGAATTGGCACAATCAAATTCACAGTCAAACAAAAACTACACTCTCTTACAAAGAAGTATGTCATTGGGAGGAACTTACCCAAGTATTTCCTGTTTATCCAGCCTTAAACACAGTTGTTCTAAGGGGGGACCATCGCAGTTACTCATAAAGTTTTCATCTGGAAATGAAGGTGAAGTTGACAGTTTATCAAGAGACAGCATCAGCAATTTCACAAATGGACTATCTAATTCTTGCAAGGTAGGTTTGCTTTGACCTTCTTTAATGTCACTTTATTTATGTTACAATAGCTTAATGAAATACTTGGTTTAAAATGTATTATAACTTAGCAGTTTTTATGATTTCCTGATCGTTACCTAGCAAATACTTTATAGTCGTGAACTTTATATTTATAAAGCTGTAGACTCCCCCCACATTAGTCTTTGTTTTCTCACAAATTGACAAGTTGTATTTTTAAAAAACTTTCCTAAATTATTTAAGCCATAAAATGTTTCTGTAGCATAAAACCAAGTTTTAAATAATGTTTCATAACAGTTTATCTCGGTACATTTTTCTTTCAAGTGGCAAATATTTTAACTCTATATTATTCCTACTTTTAAAAGTTATCAGTTTTCTCCCCCTTTAATAATTGGGAGAAAAAAAAATATAAAATGCTTATTTAAAATATTAAACAAAAGTCTAAAAATGTAAAGATTTTATAAATGAGTATAGAAGAAATATTTCAAATACATGTATTTGTAAGACAAAAACTGCCATATTGCACATTTAAACAGAGGAAAGCTAGATGTAATTTTCTTTTGTATGTACCCTAACCATAGCAATTTTGTTTCTACCCTGTTTTTCTTTAGCTATCAGTTAATACTGCCTTTAAAAATGTAACTCTTTCAACAATATTCATTTTTAAGTTTTATGTTTGCATCTGCTTTAAATTACTAGGCATTTTCCATAACTTTGTATTTACCATATTAATTTGATTTGACTATTGTGCCTTATTATATTAGTAATTTAATAAACCTTAGTCAAGACCGCTCTTTATGTAATTTGTCTTCCCAAAAGAATTTGAAGTGTTTTGAACTGAAATAGTTTTAATCTGTATTTAGAAAATCTTCATAGATTCCAGGAAATTTTAAACATTTTCTGATTAAACCTGGTCTAGATGACAGCACATAGTTTGGGAGGGAAAAAACCTTATCTGTGTACCTGTGTTTATATAACACCCAATGTCTATATTAAAGGTTGAGGAGAAACTTCTGAACAAGGAGTTTTAGGTAAATGCAGTGTTAAATAATTGCTAGTTGGCTTTCTGTCCTTTGAAATTTGGTAAATATAGTCATTTTAAAATTTGATAAATACCATCATTGCTATTATCATCATAACATCAATACCCAGATGTTAATCCAAGGAACTAATTTATTGAGAATTGAAAGAGATCAAATTTCAGATTTGATCTATGTTTTACAATTACTGATTTCACTTTGACCACTTTTCTAAAATCAGCTTTTAGTAGATTTTATTCCATTTGGCTGCTCCCCCAAAAGAAAGAAATGGAATGACACTACAAAGAAACCTATTAATAATTTGCTAATTGAATTAATGTGATTTGTAAATTTATTTTACCTTTAATGAAATAATCTGAAAGGAATAACTAACCTTGAAATATTTATAGAAATATTTAACCTTAAAATAGTTATTTTGTGGTAACATTATAATTTGTTGATGCTTTTCAAAAAGGGTATTTTAAATGTATTTTTAATGAAATGTAAACTAAGCCTTTTGCACTGCTGAAATACACATTTCTCTTGATCTTATTTAAACTTAGGAAAGCCAACAAATTTTTTTTGTGATCACCAATGCCTAGCTTTGTGCCGATTCTAATTTTTGTTAGATTATTGGGTTATAAAATACTTCAGAAATGCATAATGTGTTGGAGTTTTAAATTGTTCTTCCTCTTAGTGTGTATTAAAAACTTTTCTTTTAAAAATATTGTAAAGAATACAGCAGTTAAATTCAATATAAACTGTATCTAAAGTCATCTAATTAATCAGTAATAAATCAAGGGTTTTGTGAAAAAGATACTAACATTGCTTTTTCTAAACATAGCAATGACAACAATAATGGGATTTTCTAAATAATCCTGTGTTTATCAATAATTATATATTAATCTAATTATAGTGGTGTATTGTAACTCATTTATAAATAAACAAGTCCCAAAATATTTCCCGTGTCTCCAGCTAGTCTGGGTTAGTCCTCTGATATGCTGAGTCTGGATTCGCATTTAACAAGCTGATATTAGAGCAGCATCTAGTAATGTCAGCCATCTGCACTGGGCAGTGTGAAATTAAATCACCACGCTAGTCAGAGACCCTGGTTTCTGAAGCACCCAGAGTTTTACAGATTCTTTTCTTCTGTGTTTAGCTCCCAGCCTCCAGCAGTGTGGGATCAGGTTTCTAGCTCTCTATAATCAACAGCTTGTTAATGACTAATTTTTAAAATCTGGTGAGAATTTACCTGTGTCTGGGACAGAGGCACTGTTCTGTGTTTACAAGTTAGAATGTAGGTGGAATTTTGTAGTCTGAATAATGTTTATTTTGGGCAGAGCAAAGAATGTAACAGTAACTGGCATATGTTTATTATATGCCTTTTGAAATACAATATTACTTTTGTAAAAACTATATGGTGACTTGATCTACAAATAGAAATTTGATGTTTTAACATGTATAATATTTTATCAGCTCAATCAAGAAATAGGTTAAGGAGCTAAAGTACTTACGTCCCTATAAAAATCATTACTCAAATTTGCATAGTAGTTACTTTACTCTGCTATTATTTTACTCTGCCTGTTTTCTGAATCTCCTGTTATGTTGTTAGAGGCTGAGAGTTTTCCTTACTTGATTATCTAAGATGTTTTAGAATTGTGACCAGGTTTGTACTGTTCACTATGTATATGCATATTTTATTAGAAACATTTTTTATATTTTTTTGTTATAAAAGTTTTTGTTCATTATGTTACCTAATCCTGGATAGGTAAATTCTTAAGCCTAATGGTACTGAACTTTTTAAAAATTTATGTTTCAATTATTTCAGTCTTTATCGCTCTAGTGATTTCAAAATCTTTACCACTCAAGATTATATGTACATTTTGACAATTTACTTAGTCCTCCCTAAATTAAATATTTTAAATACATACTTATTTTACTGTCACATTGTTTTCCCACCCCTTCTTTTATTAAATTTAGCAGATTATTTAGACATTTGGTTAAGTTTATTGTGAGTGATACTTAATCTTTCCTATAAAAACGCACGTAATTTCTAAGTATTAACTCTAAAATTATGATACAATAACTAGGGTGGTCAGTTTTGGAAATTTTGTGGACAGTGCTTGTGCTCATTTCTTAGAACTGATAATTTGTAATCTTGGTTTTGGAGAGTGTCAGAAAGTTGAGCTGTTTGCTTTGAGATCCTTTGAGGTGTCTGCAGCTGTGTCTTCTTCCCTTCGTTCATCCAGCACACATTTGAATGCCAGGGACTAAGAATAAAAGGTGAATAAAGTACAACCTGTGTTGAGGGGAACTCCCATTCTAGTAAAGGGCGCACAGATGAACAGGACTGTGTCTGTCTGGTTAGCACCATGTATGCTGAGACAGGTGTGTCTGAGAAAGATGCACCAGGACTTTTCAGGAGGAGGAAACAGGTAGAGGACGTGACACTGAGAACATCTGAGAAGTGAATTGGAGCTCATCAGAACAGCTCCTCTATAGCAGGGTTTTTACCTGCAGCACACTTACGTGTGGGCCACATACTTTCTGTATGGAAGGATGTTTAGCAGCAGCCCTGGTCCTCACCAGTAGATGCCAGTAAAGCCCCTCTGCAGCATGACAACCAGAAGGTGTCTTGAGACATTGCCAAATGTCCCCAATGGGGAGAAACCTCCCCTCCCAGCATCACTTCCACAGGCAGAAGGCAAAACCCACAGAAGGTAATTCTGTCGTGGACTGGAGCCTCCCCTGCTCAAGAGAAAGTCTTGTGTCCCTAGTAATAGACAGCAGCTAGGCAGCATACCTCATACTGTATTTGAAGTGTACAGGGCTCATTGTTACATTTGCAAAAAATACATTTTTGTAATGCCATGGATTATAAATGGATTGAAGTTTTCTTAGCTTGTATGACGGCGTGAATGGTGATGTCATGAACTAAGATAAGAGAGTGGGAAGGGCTAGATGGGGGCTGGATAGAGAAGACTGGTGTTTCGCTGAGTCTGCACTGCTGTCAGTCAAGAGCAGCTGGGGCTGCGGAGCAGGACGGAAGCACTGGAGACTCAAGAGTGAGAGTGGAGAAAGTTAAGGCTCTGGTAGGGGTGAACTCAGCCAGGGGAGCAGGAAGTGAGATGTGAGGGGAATGCAAGCCAAATCCTGAGCACCAGGGATTTAGGTAAGAAGGAAGAGACAGAGGTGATAGAAAGACTCACCAGACAGGCCACGTCATGGTGGCGTGGAGTCACAGGAAAGGACAGAGGACTGAAGCACTCCTGAGATGTAGCAAGCAGGAGGTGCTCAGTGATCTTCCCTTCGGGGGGCTTTTCTAGTGTCTCCAGCACCAGGGCTGACAACCAGGTTGAGGGAACAGTAAGTGAGGAAGCAGGAACAGTGAGCGCAGTGGCCTTCTGAATGTCCTACAATGCATGAGACAGCACGGGCAAGGCGCACAGGAAACCCTGTGTGCATTGTGCTGGGTGGGTGTAAGACAGTGGGACAAACCCCTGGCTGCAGAGTACAGGCTCTTCCAGGAAAGAGGGAAAGGTTGCTACTATATTCTCTCCCCTCAAAACCACAAAGTGAGTGAACACTGCAGTAAACACTGAATTGCAGACCAGCAACACAAATGGGAACAAAAAATAGGAAGTGGGCACTTGAGCAACCGTGAATATTCATAGCTCATTTTGGACTTCGTTACTCTGGCAGTTCCCTCCCTTCCACCAAAAATAGGACGGAACAAAACCCAGCTTCCTCATGGAAAGCGAGTCAAGGTGTTGAGGACCCTATAGGACACTCTGGTCCAGAGCCTCCCAAGTTCTGTGCAAGGCCTCTGTCTCTAGACCCACCATCCCTGAGCCTCAGGACAGGGACAAGGATCCCCAAGGGGCCAGGGAAGGAGGTAGAGGGACAGGCAGGTTGAGGTGGGAGAAGGAGTCAGCAGGAGAAAGTGGGGGCTGAGAGAAGGGCCCGTGTCTCCTCAGCACATCA